CAATTGTTTTTTGTTTTGTCAATTGTTTTTTGTTTTGTCAATTGTTTTTTGTTTTGTCAATTGTTTTTCGTTTTGATGATTTGTTTTGTGTTTGCTGGTTTCTGGCCTAACTGACCTGTAGCACACGAAGGCGTCGAACTCGCAGCCGGCGCCTCCGGCCCCAGAGCGCATGGCGCGGTTGGCCCGCACCACGTGCATCGCGTAGGTGACGAGCATGCGGAACCGCAGCACCAGGAGCACGGCGGCGGCGCCCACTGCCAGGGCCACGCCCACCGCGGCGCCCGCCGCCCACGCCGCCCCGCCCCCCGCCGCTCGCCCCTCGCACTGCTCCTGAGGCGGATTGCGCGCGTCGCCCACACTCCAGCCGCGCCTCTCCGGGGGCAGCCCGCACTGCAGCGGCCCGCGCCGCCCCAGCGACACCACCTCCGTGCCTGCAAAGAAAGCGGACGTTCATTTGTCATTCTGAGCGCGCCGTATGCGGTTTTGCTCCCGCAAATTATGTGCATGTTATGTCGGGAAAATGGCAGTGTTCGACCCACGGTTCACGTTAGAAAACAATTATTCGGGAGTTTTTGGTGGCTATTGCTCTCTACCTAGTGACATAACATCTACATTTAAGCATAGTGACTACTAACACAGTATCAGATAGAAACTGCACACATTCGCGTACATTAGCAGTTTTATGAAAAGGCAATTTTTATAAGCAATTTGTGGGCAACTATACACCTTTTCACCAAGTCACCCACGATAGCTAATTAATAAACGTATTATACAGAAAGCTTTCACCTAAACATCTCTGTAGAGAATGCCAGATTGGTGATGAATATTATGGTTGAATATAATTCAGAAATTTAGGAATGTAAAAATAACACGATGCAAACTCGATCACAAACATTTTATTTTCAAAGAGATTTCTCAATGAATTATGTCAGAGACACTGAACGCGGACGCTATTCAAAATTTATTGATTACTTCGTTTGCATGCGTGCCAACAGCTTTGGTCGTTAGTGCACAACACGCACTCCCCGGAGCTGGCGGCGTTGCTCTCGCTCAGGAGCTCTCGTGATCTCTGGATTTCCCTTCTGCAGGCGCCTCTAGAAGCTGGGCACTGCCCCACGCGTGAAAGGCTGTAAGCTCCCTGTGTGCTAGTGTTTTACATGAAAATGTGTGAATGTGAAAAAGTAGGGGGGGGGGCAAGGATACGGAAGAAACGATCGCGCGTGGTCGGTGTACAGGTTCTGCTCCGGAATTTGCAGTGTATTGATTCGATAAACTACGAGATCAAAAATGCCAATCAGAGCAGGCGCCTAAAACTTCAGTTAGGCCTACACACAGCTAATCTTCCAGTCAGTGGTTAAATTCGACCTAGTTACCTGTCTAGAATAAAAAATCCAACACCATCGGTACTCGAACCCTAGGACCTTCTACTAAGAACCCCTGCAGTGACATTTGTATTCTAAGCGAAATGCTATTCAAAAAAGTGGAAAATGCGTAATCAACTCGTGAAATTCGTGGAATTATTTTCATAAATGTTAAACCGAGTGACGTCACCAGTAAAGACGTTCAGTAACCTTTCAAACATTGTGAATAACAAAAAATTCCTTTGTAATACTTACTGGTGGTGTTCAGCCATTCCTGCAGGTGGCGAATGGCGCACTTGGCGCAGTCGATGGGGTTGGCGCCGAGGTCGACGAGGTGTAGCGCGCCCAGCTCGCGCAGCATGGTCGCCGTCAGCGCCGTCAGCTCCGTGCGCGACAGGTTGACGGCTGCGCGGGGCCCCAACGCCGCGAACGCCTGCGCGCCCCACTCGCCGCGCAGCGGGTTCCCGC